TTCCTAAATGTGGCCTCCGGTAGGTTAGTGGTTAGTGTTCTAGTCTGGTAGACCGGAGGTGGTGGGTTCGATTCCCACCTGAGGCACTGGTTAAGGAGCGCACAACAGGCCCGATAGAGGCCTAGGTGTATTTCTTCGGATTTGATGTATATACATCCTCCTTTCAAACTAACTAACTAACTAACTAACTAACTAACTAACTAACTAACTAACTACTTCCTAAATAAAAATAAATATCAAGTTCCGAAATTAGACATAAGCACTTTTTAAAACCTCATACTGTTCCATGTGAACTAATAATTATAACAGATACCAATTCAATTATTCGAACATCAATTTAGAACCTATTCTTTGAAAAATATTTGGAATTTTACTCAAAATACATATTAGTTTTGGAACATATTATTATATTCGTAGTATTAATTTAAAATTTTAGGTGCATTCAGAACAAGGTAATTTACCTTTACCGGTATCATTCAGATTTGTAGAAAGTTAGAAATGTAAAATCCTCTAGTATTGAAAAATAAAGTTTGTATTCGACTGCGCCGAAATTAAATACCCACCATCAAAATATTGTAATGTATTGATATTAATATCAGCATCAATGTGATTTTCAGAGGAGGTCTAATTAGGTTTTTTTGTGTCAATTTTGGTCCAAATTTGCAGCCCAAATAGAATGAGTCTTCTAACTCGTGTTTTCAGCTTACAGACACAGAATGTGTATACTTTTTGGGTCGGTCTACGACCAACATTGCAATGTGCTAACAAGTAAAAAGTTATAGTTGGGCGAAGCCTACCATATAATACCCTACACCAGTTATAAAAATAAAATGTGATTTATTGTTCATAATAAAGCATCTAAGTTGAATTGTACCTTGCCTCAGATATAATTTAGCTATTTTTTGTTGAATAAAATTGTGTACATTTAAGTCATATTTCGAAGGGGGCTTTGCATAGGGGCTAGGGTCAAATGAGGCCGCATCATCAAAAAATGCATCAGGGTCATGAAGGCTAGTATAGAACTTGGTTTTGCAGCTTTTTGTCGAGTTACGAATATATTGAACATAATTATGAACTTAAAAACCCTATTTGGGGGGTTCAGTTGTGTGGGGGCTAGGTCAAATATTGGACCGATGTTATCCATTTTCAATAGGATCCGTCTCTAGTACAATAGAAGATCATGCAAAATTTCATTGAATTATCTTCAAATTTGCTGTAGTTTGTTTACAAGGTTTACACGGACGGACGGACAGACGGACGGACATAGCTAAATCGACTCAGAAAATGATTCTGAGCCGATTGGTATACTTTAAGGTATAGGACCAATATTATTGTGTGTAACAAACATCAGCACAAACCCAATATACCCTCCCCACTAAAGTGGTGTAAGGTATAAAAACGAAGTGAATAAATAAATTTATATGTGCTATGTGTATGGACTCATACCACTTTAAAAAATAAAAGGTTCAAATATGTATAAAATTAGCTCTGCGGAATTTTGTTTTGCATGAGTCAAAAATAAAATAAGATCGTAATTTTCAAATTAATGAAAATTATGGCTCAAAAAAAGAAAATAAAAACAGTTTTTTGAAACAAATCCTAATCCCGAAAAAATCCCGGGATTTATTTTCCAAATCCCGGGATTCGGGATTTGCCAATCCCGAAAAATCCCGGGATTTTCGGGATCGGGATTTCGGGATTGGCATCCCTAGTGATAATGGTGTGGGATTTTTGGTGGAAGGTGGTGATATGGGTGTTTTTGTTGTAATTCTCAAACTGTTTGTTGTTAATGAAATTTTGCCGAAGGTCGTGCAACTCACCACGTATGAGCACGTATGAGTAATATTAAAACTGCGGTAGAGTGGGACAAGCGACAAAAAACCGCCGACGTTTTTTCTTGCCGTCGACGAAAATAAGTTTTTTATTTAAAAAATTTAATTGAAAAAAGGAAAGAAAGAAAAAGAAGAAGAGAAAAAAATAACAGAGGTAAGTAAAAAAAGAATGGGAGGTTGTTGGTGTATGAGTAGGTGTGGAAAGGGGGCTGGAAGGAAGGCAGTGACAGATGAATCAAAAAAAGCAAAGTTTTTTTTAAGAGAAACTTACCACACTTGGTATGTTGAACATACATAAACTCACCACACTTAGTATAGTGAAATTGTTATTCACCAACAAAACTGTATTATCGACCATAAAATGACGCCAGCTAAAACAACTGCTGTAACGACAAAACCTGCTTTATCAGTGGTGAGTATGTTTAATAGTGATACAACGCTACAGCTGATACACTGTATTAACAGCAACGGCCTTATCCAGAATACTGCTTTATCAGGCTAAATGTGAAATGGTTGTTGAATTAACTGCAAGAAAAAAAAAAGAAATATTTATTGTGTTTTTCTTTTTGCAGAGCTGTGTATGTGTTTTCTTAATTTTTACGCTATTAAATAAAACTCCTTTAACTTTTTTTTTTATTCATACAATATTTTTGTGTATTTTTATTTTTTATTTATTTTAATATTTTATTTTATTTGTTTGTTTTTTTTTTCGTATTTTTATTTAAGTTTTTTAATGTTTATTAAATTTAATTTGATTTTTTTACCTTTACTTTTTGGGGTTTTTTTCCGTTCGTTATGTTTTGTTAATAATTTTTTGTGTTATTTTATTAATAATAATATATAATAATGTTAAATTTATATGCTACATATAAATATTAAGGTTTTCTTTTTTTTGGTTTATAACTACATTTAAGGGGTTTTTTTATAATATTGTTTAGGGTTAATATTTATTTTTATTTTATGTTTATTAAATCAATAAAATAAAATATAAACAATTTAAGTTAAGAATTTAGTAAAATTATTAATACAAATAAACAAAAACTGTTGGTTTTCCCTTCCCTGGTTGGTAGTTAAGATGGAGTTTTGAATCTTCTTTAATTAGGGAGGTTAGGGATTTTAATGGGTTTAAATTTGTTTTTAAACTTATATTATTTTACTTTTTACATTTTTAAATAATTATTATGTGTTGTTGCTGTTTTTTTTTTTTTTTTAATTTTTGGGCGGACTGTCAAAGATTTCTTTATATACCAGTTTTTGTTGTTGTTTGTTGTTTTTAAGGGCATTTTTTTATTACTTTTTATTGAAAATAATTGTTTTTGTTATTTTCGCAAAATTTTTAAATTATTTTATAATTTTTTTTGGGGGACCCCCTTCTATTTAAAATAAAAATTTATTAAAAATAAGAAAAATTATGTATTATTTTTAAATTAATTTAAAGTTTGGAAGGCAGAAGAAATTTTTGTTGAATTTTCTTTTTCCTTTCAAGAAATTTAACAATTTCTTTTTTAATAAGAAAATTAAGAAGGAAGGGAGGAGGAAGGAGGTGTACGAGTATAAATAAGAAGTAGGGAAATTTTCTTTATTTAGTATAAATTGGCTTGAATTGGGGATAAGGATGTAAGGAAAATTTTTGGAATTTCTTAAAAATTTATTTATTATTTGTTAATATTTTAGAATTTCTTTAAAATTTATTTTGGAAAAAAGGTCCCCCGTTTTTTGTTTATTTTTTATTTTAAATTGTGTAAAATATTGTTTGTTTTTTTTATTTATTTAATATTAATAGTGATATGGTCTGTTTTAATTATAATTTTTTTTTGTTTAATAAATTATTAAAAAAAGAAATATTTTTTATAGTTTTATATACAAAAAAGTGTTTTTTTAGAAAAGTTTTTTAATTAAGGAAAAATATAAAGTGCCTTTTTTGGGGGGGATTTTTTATAAGAATTATTTACAAATTTAATTAAAATAAAATGTTTAAATATTTAATTTTATTTATTTTAAATTTTTATTATATTTTTTTAAATTTATTTTTTATTTTTATATATATTTTTTATTTTTATTTATATTTTATTTATATTTATTTTTTTATACTTTAATTAATTACGTATTTTGTTTTTTTTTTTATAATTATTGTTTTTTTTTTAATTATTTTTTATATTTAGCACCTTTTTTCTATACAAACTTTCTTTTCTGTTGTTGGGGAGGAAATTTAAATAAAAAATTTTGTTTTTTTTTAAATTTTATTTTATTTATTTTTTTGAGGTTATTATTATTTTTTATTAATTATTTAAATAAAAAATTTGTTTTTTTAAGTTTTTAATTTTATTATTAAATATTACGTACTTGTTTATTCTTTTAAGGAAAACAGGGGGCTTATTTTATAAGTTTTTTTTTAAAGATATTATTTTTAATAATATTTATTTTGTGTTGTTTTTATTAATATATTAAACTAAATAACTTTTTTTTAAGAGTTTTTTTTAATATTTTGAAGTTTGTGTTTTAAAAGTCCAAAATTTTTTAGATTTTTTTTTTTAATGCGAGGTTTAAGGTTCCCCGTAAATTTTTTGTTTAATAAAAAATAAAATAAAATTCTGTTGTTGTTTATTTTTGTAATAATTTCAGTTTGTTGTTTTTATTTAAAAATGTATAAGAGAAATTATAATAATAAAACTAAGTTTTTAACTAAAGCAAATTGTTAAAAAAAAAATTTTAAAAAATAGAAATGCAGTAATAATGTTTTTATTTTAATAATAAAAAAAGTTTGTTTAAAAATTTTAAGTTTTTTTTTTAACAAAAAAAAATAATCAAAGATAATAATAAAAATTTAATTAAATACTAGATTTTAAGCTTAAATAACTACTATATACATATTTTATTAATAATTAAATTTTTATAGGAAAACTTAGGATTTTTTTTTAGTTTTAATAATAATAATAATAATTTTTGGAAAACTTATTTATATTTATTTTATAATAATTAAAACGATATGCTAAATTTGTTTTGTGTGTGTGTGTAAGTTTTAGGTTAAATAATTTAAAGAAATTTAAACTATTATAAGCTACTTGTTATTAATTTTTTTAATATTTAAGGGCAAGTTTGTATATATTTTATATATAATAATTATTTTATAATTAATAATTATTGTTTTTTTTTTTTTTTTTTTTGTTAAAAAGAGATTCAGTTTTAATAATTAAAGTTTAACTACCTTTTTTTATAAATATTTTAAATTAAATTTTATTTTAATGTTAATTTTATTTTGTAAATTTTAATTTTTTATAAAAAAATTTCTTGTTTTTGTTTTCTGGTGAGATCAAAAAGGAAGTTAAAACTGTTTTTTTTTTACTTAAAAAAAAGAAATACTTAAACAATATAATAAAATAAATCATTTAAAAATATTTACAAGATAAAAACTATATACATTAAAAAAAAAACCTAAAAAATTAAAACTAAATTTCTAAAAATAAAACTTATAACTTACAGTCTTGTTTATTAAATGATAAAAAAGAAAAAAAGTAAGACTTAAACTTAAAAAAAACTCCTTTTAAATAATACTTTTTAATTTTTTGCTTAAAAAAAAGTTTCTTTTTCTTTTCAAAACTACAAACTATTATATACATCTTAATCTCTAAAAACAAGAAACTTTCTTTCTTATAAATTAAACTTAAAAACTTAATCACAAGTTTAAGTTTCATTCAAAAAACTTAAAACCCAAAACTATTTACCAAATTTTATAAAAGAATCTCTCAATTTTATAAGAAATTTTTATTAAATCTTAAAATATTGTGGTTTACGTTTTAAATTCCTTCAACAAAACTTAAGTTTTAAAATCTAACCTAAAAAAAAAATCTAAATAAAAACAAACATTTTTTCTTCATTGCACTTGTCTAAAAACTAAACTATTCCTCTTTTCAAAACCAGAATTTTATAAAGAGTTTTTTTAAAACCTAAAAACTCTAAAATCCCTTAACTTTTTTGCTACTTAATTATTAAATCTCTAATAATTCCACGCTGTTGCTGCTGGGTTGCTGGTGGCAGCATTACTGCTGTTGGCCAAGGTTTCCTCCTCACTGCTTAAACGATTGACACGCACCATTCTCAGCTTGTCTTCTTGTATTACCTTTATTCTTTCCTCTGCTAAACTTTCCTCATTTATTCTATCCTTTTCATTATCACTTTCGCAGTCTTCTTTTTCCTGTTTGATTACCACCTCAGGTTCCATGAGATTGGGGTGTGGAGCCTCCATCATCATGTCGTTTTCCTCTTCCTGTTCTTTATTACCTAAATGCTCCTCCTCCTGAGCCAATTGCTGCTGCTGCTGTTGTTGGGCCTCTTCTTGTGCCTGCATCACGCATACGCCATTGATAATGCGTTCGCTTTCAGAGGGCACGGCTGGATTGACCCATTGTGGTGCGGCAGGTTTTCTTCTATTCAAACGCATATTGTTGAGAAATTGCTGGGCATTTAAACTGCTGCTTAGGGCAGCATTTCTATAATCACTTGTCTTATCCTCATCGTCCAAATCCTCATTTTCATTTTCGGACATATGACTCTCATCCATATCATCTTCGAAATCATCATTGCGCTCGCGTTTCAAAGAGCTCATGGATAAATCCAAGCCAGACATTTGTTCTCTAAAAGCTTGATTGAGGGCTCGTAATTCGGCCTCATTGGTGGGCAAGGCGTTTTGGGGATTGGTGCCGGGCATGCCGGCCAATGAACGTCCCAGTAAAGCTGCTGCTGCGAAATAGGGTGGATAAGGCAAGGGGGTATTGCCACTCAAACCCATGCGTTCCTTGTGCAACTCTAGCAATCTTTGCTGCAGCAATATGCGAAACTGGACGGGATCAAAGGGTGTGGAATTGGTGTTTTCCCTAGTGGGTATATTGGTTTCCTGCCCAGGTGGCCCATGTGGCACTTGTTGTTTCAAACGCATGCGATGATTATGGAACCAGTTGGTTATGGTGCGTGTGGCCAAACCCAGTTCATTGGCCAAAAACTCTATAGTGCCCACATTGGGATAAGGATCTAAGGCAAAAGCTAATCTCAAGGCCTCTTTCTGTTCCTCAGAGAATAAAACGCGCTGTTTCTTATTGGGTGGAGCACCTGAGCTGCCCACGGAGCCGGGTCCCGGACTGGAGGTGTAAAAATCATTGGTATCATTGCTGGAAGTATCAGAGCTATTGTCCTGTTGATTAGGTCCAGTGGAACGTCGGCGTTTGGAGGCCTCTCTTCTCTCATTCTTTAAAACCTGCAAACGCTCCACATTATTGGCATCCGACAGCCACAGCTGCATGCGTATGAAGGGTTCTCGGCCCTTAATCGATAACATATGCCAGGGTTTAGGTTTGCTCAGCAATTCGGATACGGAACCCTGGGACAAACCCAATACAGCCTCGCCAAAGATCTTCTGGCCAATATTGTTGGTTAGCAAGGCTTCCTTGATTTTGGTGGTGATAACCTGAGTGTCCAAATCCTGGGTCAAGGCGGCCATTTCATAAACGGTGGGTGACATATGCTGGTGCATATTGCGCATGGCATTACCTTGGTGGGGTGAGTGTATGGGCATCATCATGGGCTTCTTGTCGGGTGTAGGACCGGCGGGTGTAGTAGTGCCTGAGGAAGGTTGTGAGTTGGCGGCCGGCAAGGCGATGGTATGCTGGGGAGGCAAACCCGGCGAAGTCAAAAGCATACTTTGATGATGTTGAGCCGCTTGAGCGGCAGCAGCCGCCTGGGCAGCTTGTACAGCCGCTTGAGCTGCCTGTTGTTGTTGATTTTGCTGAGCCACAGCGGCGGCCTGCTGCTGTTGATGTTGTTGCATGGCGGCGGACATTACAGCGGCTGCCTGCATTTGTTGCATAATGTGAGCTGGTTCCTGCAACTTCAGTTCGCTCATCATTTTTTGCATGGGCAAAGAGGCCTGCATTTTACTGGCCAAACCCTGAGGTATTTGTGGCGAGCCACTGTAATTACCGGTTCTCATAAGCTTCTCGGGAGCTATTTTATATTGGGAAGCCACCAGTTTGTGTACTGCATTTTCATCTTCCAAAAACATTTTCATGCGTATGAAAGGTTCACGTCCCTTTTGGGTCAACATATGCCAGGGTTTGGGGCGAGCCAAAAGATCGGAGACGGAACCCTGCGACAAACCCAATACGGATTCACCAAACAAACGCTGAGAAATGGAATACTGAGACAAAGCCTCCTTAACGCGACGCACTATATCCTCGGTATTGAGATTGTTAAACATATCAAACTGCTGCTGGGTAATGGGAGGCAAGACCGCCTTGGTGGGTCTTTGTGGTGGCGTATGATGAGGTGGTACGGGTGGTTGTGTAATTAAAGAATTGGTAATGGAGGCCATTCTCTGCAGAGGGCTGGCGGTGGCAGAAAATTCCTCATTGGGTGTCATAGCAGGCGGGAGTATGGAATTGCTGAGAGGACTGGGAGCTGCAGAATTGGTATTGGTGGTAGAAGCATTGCTGGAAACAAGAGGCGCTGGAGTCTTATTGCCCTGTTCAGATTTCACCATACCAGGATAAAGTCTTTCCACTTCGTTGGAGTTAGAATCTTTGGCATTCGGTGTGGTTTGGCCATGATTACTGAGTGAGCTCTGTGAACCCTCAAATGAAGTGCGTTGACCATTTACCTTGTTGTTGGAGTCCTTGCTGGGTTTGCTGTTAGAGTCATCTGGGCCTAAAGAAAGATCCTGGGCACCATTTAACATTTGCTGCTGCAAAGCCATAAGACTAGAGAAATTGGCAAAGTTGGGTGGTTGGGCAGCATGTTGCTGTTGTTGGAATTTTGACATTTCACGCTCAAAAGCCAAACGCATATTATCATCACCCGCCAAACCGGGGAAAGCATTGGCAGCCATACCGGCGGCAGCAGAGGGAAGACCACCACTGAAAAAGGGTGAAAGCAAGAAACTAAAATTAAAATAAGCATTTAAAGTTCTTAAAACAAAAAAGAAAACTTACCCTGGAAAAGCTTCCCGTGGAGCTCTAGCCATTAATTCCTGATAAAGTCTAGCCATTTTCTCAGGATTCATATCATCACCACGCATACCAGCAGATAAACTAGATTCAGCACCCTGCGACTTGCTATGATGCTCTTTATAGAAAGGAGAGGCACAGGGCTGATGAGGTGATTTGGAATCATCATTACTGCGTGAATCTTCAGGCAAAGCTGAAGATCTTCTTTGATGTTCATGCATAACAGCGCCCGATGAAGAAGATTTCATTAAAGAAGAAGCCTCATTTAAAATATGAGCAATACGTTCATCGGACATTGAATCATCACCACGACCACCAGCTGCACCACTGCCATAAGGAGGTAAACCAGAATCTAAAAACAAGTAGAAGAAGAAGAAAAGGTAAGTATTTGCTGAATAATAAATTTCCCATTAACGGTTGTAAAATGGTCTACTTGTAGTAGAGGCAAATGAAGAAGACAAAATCAATCATGTCATAAAAATTAACTTAAAAAAATATAAGGAACCAAAGAAGGGGAGAATGTTTTAAAGGTATAAAATGTTTTTATGATCCTTTTTCTACATGAGTTGTTGTGATGTTATGTGTGTTAAGAGCTAATTCATCAATTGCTTTGGGCGTTTAGATTTTATGACAATTTATTGATCTGACTGACTGAACGAACTGCTTTGTTTTGTTTTTTTCTTTAGAAATTAAGTCATAAATGAAAGGAATTTTTTAGCAAATAAAGGTTTTATGAAAAATTTAGAATTTAAGAAGTTTAAAAACTTTTTTTAAGAAAATTTGTGTTCTGAGGTAAAGTATGTTGAACTTTTTAAAGCAACTCTAATGGAATTTATAATTGAGGTTAGATTGAATGTAAAATTGTGATTGTTTTAGAATTGAGGTTATGTTTAAGTTTGTATAAAGTTTGTGTTAAAGTTGAGGTTAGGTTAAGTTCAGATTTAAGCTTTTGAAATGTTTGTTTCTGTTTTGAAGTTAAATTTGTGGAACATCAAGAAAGAAAATCTCTTGAAATTTCTAATTGAGGTTAGTTTGAAGTTAGAATTAAGTTTGTTTTAAAGTTGAGGTTATGTTTAGGTATGAAATGAGTTTGTTTTAAAGTTAAGGTTATGTTTAGTTAAAATTTAAGCTTTTGAAATGTTTGTTTTAGTTTTAAAGTTAAGTTTGTGGAACTTTTAGAAAGAAATCTCTTGAAATTTCTAATTGAGGTTAGTTTGATGTTAGAATTAAGTTTGTTTTAAAGTTGAGGTTATGTTTAGGTTTTTTAAAATTTGTGTTAAAGTTGAGGTTATGTTAAGTTCAAATTTAAGCTTTTGAAATTTTTGTTTCTGTTTTGAAGTTAAGTTTGTGGAACTTTTAGAAAGAAATCACTTGAAATTTCTAATTGAGGTTAGTTTGAAGTTAGAATTAAGTTTGTTTTAAAGTTGAGGTTATGTTTAAGATGGAATTAAGTTTGTGTTAAAGTTGAGGTTATGTTTAGTTCAAATTTAAGCTTTTGAAATGTTTGTTTTAGTTTTAAAGTTAAGTTTGTGGAACTTTTAGAAAGAAATCTCTTGAAATTTTTAATTGAGGTTAGTTTGAAGTTAGAATTAAGTTTGTTTTAAAGTTGAGGTTATGTTTAGGTATGAAATGAGTTTGTTTTAAAGTTGAGGTTGGGTTAAAGTTGAAATTGAGTTAAAATTTAAGTTTTTTACTTTTTTTAAGGCAAAATCAATAGCTATATCAAATTGAGGTTATGTCAAAGTTCATTTTGTACTTTTTATTAGATTGTCTTTATGTTTTTTTGCTAAAACAATAACATGGCTTAATCCTAAAATGAAGTTTCTCTCTCTCCCTCACTTTTGCTAACAAAAACCTAACACTTCTCTAACACTTGGTTTTTTTTTTTGTTTGCCTCATACTTATTGAACAAGTTTATCCAAGGATATCCTTGTTGTTGTAAAGTATAGGTATTTAAAGTTGTTTTATTTTAGTTGTTGTTGTTGTAATAATAGTATTGAAAAGGTATAAATGTTAGCAACTATTGTTAAAGGACATGAAACATAACAATTCAACCGTTATATGCCATTTGTCATTCATGTGTTGATTTCCGTTTCCTATAAAACGAAAAGAACGACAATGAAATTTCAAATGAAATGATACGTTTTATAAAGAAAATAAAAAGAAGTAGGGGAGAAGGGGGGGGGGGGGGGGGGGTGTTGGTTTCAGAATGAAAGGAAAATATGAATATGAATGAAGGACTGGTTGTTTAGATGGTTGGATGTATGCTTTGAAAAGCTTAAGCGGATGTTAGAACAACCATTTATGTTTGTTAAGTGTTTGGCTCCTTTGGGAATCGATTATTATCCTCTCCTAAGCAATTGTAAAACAATTTATGCAAAAAAAAAAGCAAAAATTCTTTAAATTTTTTTTGGGTTTGCAGGAAAAACCACTTGTATGATTAAATTTTTTAAAAGTTTGTAGAAAAATTTAAGTTTTAAAATAGATTTTTTGTTAGAATCCTATAAATCAAAAGCTTGTGGCATGAATTTTGAAGCAATAATGCTTGATGTTTGGTTTGATTTCAATATAATAAAAATTTTTCTCTCTTTCTTTCTTTAACAACAAGGTCATATACATGTTTAACAAAATTTTTTTTTTGGTTTATTTTTCAATAAACCTAGAAAATAATAAAAAAAATTTTGCATGTTTTTCAAAAGGGAGTTTTATGGACTGCATTCACATGGTCTTTCTATGTCGGAGGGGATATGAAATTTGAATTTGTTTCTGTGTTTTTTAGCGTATTTGTGTGCTTAACCATGCAAGAATAATGAAAAAACAAATTGAATTAGCGTTTAATAATTGTAAAAAGAAACAAAAAATAATAGAAACAAAAAAAAAAAAAAAAAAAATATCACAAAACGTTTGATGTTTAATTAATTTAAATCTAATAAAAAAGGATTTTTTTCCGGTTCATACAGGAGAAAAAAAATCAAATTTGAAATTTAAACAAATTTAAAACTTTGAAAGATTTTAAATTCCAAAAAAAAATCTTAAAAATTTATGAAAAAAATTTATTAAAAATTTCTTAATTAAACAAGAATTTGCAGCTAAAAATTAGAGATAAAAGTTCCAATTTGTGGCAAATTGTTTCTTTTTAAAGAGTTTTAAGTAAAATTTTTTAATTTTAATTTTGTATAACTTTTAACAAAAACCAATTATTCTATAGCATAAATTTATATTAAAATATTCAGTTCGAGTATTTTTCAAAAATTTTTCAATTAACCCCCATCAATGTATTCAATGATTTTTATTTCAAAAATTTTATTTCCACTAATTATTCAATTATATTTTATATTTTTTGCCAAGAAAAACATATTCCATTTTTTTTTAATTAATAATTGCATTGTAAATCAAATTTATGCTAAAATATGCCAACTTCTTTTTTATAAATTTCTTACTCTTTGAATCTGCTGTTAAATTGCGTAAAAATGAAATAAATTCTAATTAAAATGCCTATCAAGTCAAACAACAGCCCTAGATCCTCAAACACCTTATATAACAAACCCTTACTACCTCTCTCCTTAACTTTAAACAGATTTTGTTGTTGTTGCTTTGTGCAAGAACATAATAACACTTCAAAATGCAATAAATTATCTATGGTAAAAAGAGAAATTGCAATTGAAATTGGTTTTTAAAAAAATAATAAAAAAAAAATTAGAATAAGAAATCTAGCTAAATACTAATAAAGCGGGAATAATGATAAGTAATAAAAAAAGGGTGTTAAAAGAAAGACAAAGGTAAATTACAAAGATAATTAGTATTCAAACTAAAGAGGGGTAGTAAAGGTTTGAATTTGAAAAAAGGGAAAATAAGAAAAAAAATTTCTCAAAAAAAAAAAAAAGAATTTTAAAATTTTCAAAGAGAAAATGTTTTAAAATATAATATTTTATAAACATTAACATAATTTGTAATAAAATAGGGCAAAACAAAGCAAAAATTCAACAAAAAATTTAAAATTAAAAAAAAAAAAATATAATAAATAAAAAAAATAATTTTAAAATAAAAAAAATCGAAAATTTTGTAGGCAAAGAGTTTTAAAATATTTATATTATATAAAGTAAAACAAAATTCTAATAAAATTTTGAAAATTAAACGAAAAAATGATATTTTTTAAAAAAAATTTTCTCAAAAAAAAAAAAAAAATAAAAAAAATATTGAATTTTCACATTTTTAAAGAGAAAATAGTTTGAAAACATAATATTTTATACACAGAAAACATAATTTGTAATAAATTATGGAGGAACAAAGCAAAAGTGAAACAAAAAATTTAAAATTTTCTCAAAAAAAAAAAAAAAAAAAAAATTAAAAAAATATTAATTTTTGAAAATTTTGAAGAAAAAGAGTTTTAAAACATCATATTTTATAAACAATAACATAATTTGTAGTAAAATATGGAATTTTAAAGCAAAAATTCTACAAAAAATTTAAAATTTTCTCAAAAAAAAAAAAAAAAAAAAAAAAAAAAATATTAAAAAATTAAAAAAAAATTGAATTTTGAAATTATTGAACAGAAAAGAGTTTTAAAACATAATAGTTTATACACAAAAACATAATTTGTAATAAAATTTACAATAAAAAAGCAAAATTAAAACAAAAAATTGAACATTTTCTCAAAAAAAAAAAAATTAAAACAAAAAATATTGAATTTTGAAATAATTGAACAGAAAAGAGTTTTAAAACATAATAGTTTATACACAAAAACATAATTTGTAATAAAATATGTAATTTTAAAGCAAAAATCCAAAAAAAAATTAAAATTTTCTCAAAAAAAAAAAAATTTAAACAAAATTATTAAATTTTGAAATTTTTAAAGAAAAAGAGTTTTATAACTTAATATTTTATACACAAAAATATAATTTGTAATAAAATATGAAATTTTAAAATAAAAATTCAACAAAAATTGATTTTCTCAAAAAAAAAAAAAATTAAATTAAATTAAAATTAATTTTTATTTAAATTTTTTTAACAAAATTTTATTAGAATTAGTCATTTTAAACAAAAATTGCAATATATTTAAATTTTTTTAATAAAAATAAAATTTTAAAAAATTTTTTAAAATAAAATTACAAATTTTTTTTCTAATAAAATTTTGAATTTTTTTCTAAAAATTTTCTTTTAATTTTCTTAATTTAAAAAAAAGGATTATCATTTCTTTTAATGAACATTTATTATATATATTGCAAAATTTATTTATTATAACAATAAAATTAGAAATTTGTTTTTCTTAAAAATGTTCAAATAAATTTTTCAAAAAAAAAAACCATGACGTTGTTGCTGCTGCTGGTGATAAGTTTTTTTTTTTTTTTTTTA